GCACTTTTACAATAATTTTCTACATCAATCCAGATATTCCTGAAACTGCTACATTGAAAACAAGGTAAAATTTTTACTATAAAATATATCTATATATATTATTTATAGCACAAACTTAAATATTTTATTATTTTTCATATCATCAATTTATTATATATATACGCAGATTCTCTTAGCAGAGCCAAGAAATAGAATTCCTACCAACACCGAAAACACCAATCCAATCTATTGAAGAACAAAGAATGGAAAACAGGAAAACAATAATTGAATTACAAACATTACATCATGAAATCAATCTGGTTAGTATTATTAAATATTATCCTCTTTTTTTTCTTTTTTTTTAAAATTTTAACTAATTAATATTCTCTTACATATACAGTCCACATGATTCACAGTACGAGCTACAATAAGAGGAATCTAGACAAATCAAAGCTGGAACTACAATTCTTGCCCCACCTGCTACCGAAAATTAAAGCAATCAAGAATTGGTTGGTGGTGCGATAGTCATGGTCATATCAAGACAATGCCATCTCCATGGTAAATCACCATATTTATAAAACATTTTATATTTATATTTATTCTCATCAATTACAATAAATTATTTATCACATTTATTAACTTTGAATATATATATACACATATATATATATTACAGGTACAAATTAAATATCAAAATTGAGGATAATACTGGAGATATGAATATTACTATATTTGGCAAAACAGCACAAGCACTGATTAAAAGGCCATGTTCTGCACTAACCATTGACGAAGGATATAATGATCCATATGTAATTCCACCAGTCATCGATCTGCTCCGTGGACAAACAAAAATCTTCCAAGTCTACTTTCAACAAAGGGACCACCAAATAACAGTTGTTGCATCCAAAATATTTGAAGACATTCAATCTCCTTTACCACCAAAAAGTATGCCAACAACATCAATTTTTGATACACAAAGGTAAGTTAAACTTATCACTATATATTTAATATATAAATAAAATTTTTAATAATCATAAATAAATATGTAAAATAATTTTTTTGTCTTCATCTCAGCCATGAACAAACAAGTCCGTCACTTATATCATCACCAATGACAATCAATCCACAAACTCCAATTCCCAAAAGATCAGGCACAAGGTAAAACATATTTACTATAAAAATTATTCTAAACGTTTCTAAATATACATCTAAATAATTTTTTTAATTTCAGCTCTGAATCAAAATCAAAAGAACTTTCTACAAAACGCCAAAAGAAAAGGTAATGAAATTTTTTTTACATCTTCTATTATACATTATTTATATAAAAACTTTGTCAAGCTACTTATATATTGTATTGATTTATTATGATTTCTAAACAGTTTTATCTGTTAAAAAAGACAGCGCATTGAATCTGATAGGCGTTACTCTATTACAGTGTATATAGGTACATATAAATATATTTTCAATTATGATACTATATGTATATATATTTAAAACTATGTTTATAATAATAATAGACATTTTGTATATATACATATCTTTATAACTATGTTTAGAATAATAAAAACTCTTTTATATGATACAACATGAAATTCTGCAGTAACGCGCGAGAATTCCACTAGTTTACCTCTACAAGGGAGAACCCGTTTTTGAGAATACAATTGGCCACGCGGCCTTTTTTTTTATTGCTTTCTCTGCTGAAAAAACAGAAGAGAGAGAAATAGAGGGAAAGGTGGTGGTCCCTCACCGGGGAAAAGAGAGAGAGAGCTCTAGTGGAGAAAAAGAGAGAGAGAAATGGGAAGTAGAGGGCCCCACGTGCAAAGGGAAAATAGAGAGTCTGGGAAAAGAGGGAGAGAGAAAGAAAGAGGGAGGGACTTGAGTTCCAAATGTGAGAGAGGGCAGGGTGTTTTGTACAAAAATTTAATTTTGTATTATTATTATTTTGTTTATTGTATTTATTTATTTATTTATTTTAGAGTTATTTGTGGTTTAATTTTATCCCTTTTAATATCATTTTGTCCTAAATTTTTTATACTTTTGTGATGAAATTGCTATAAATAATTCAAAAAAACTAAGATCAATTAAAATCACACTAAAATAAAAAAATCACACCTTATTACACAAAAAAATAAATTAAGTAAAACTAAATAAAATTAATTTAAAACACAACAATGTTAGTGGACACGTATCAGCATAACATTCATCGAAAAAAATATAAAAATTTGAATAAATTGTTTTTAAAATGAAAGTAAAAAAAATTTAAGTAACTGTCTTTTACTTTAGATCTTTTCTCCTTTTTGTCTTTATTTTTTTATTGATGTCTTTTTTCTTTTCTTTCTTTTCTAAAAAAAATAATGAGTAAAATTATTGTTTTAAATAAATCACGCATGTAAAGGGCGCAAAAGACTAGTATATATATGTGAAAAAATTACATAATTCATCCTTGTAGTCTCAGTATTTAGTAAAATTACCCTCATTCTTAGAAATTGCATCCAGCAGCTCATGCCAGATCTATATGAGGGAGTTCGCCTTATTTATATATATATATATATATATATATATATATATAGAGGATGCATGTACGACACTTCATCTAACATTCAAATGACGCTTGAAGAGCAAGTGCATCCCATGAGGCAACGCCGAAGCACCAGATCAGATCTTCATTGACTTTGGCATTTGCATGCGGCTAGCTTTGGGGGTTTATTTAGTTCTAATGTTGACTTGTACCCTATTGAGGATTTGGTCTAAGTTCAAACATGTTGTTTTGATAATGTGAGGACAAAATGGTCTTTTAAAACTTAATTTTTAAGTATTTATTCGCAGGAAGGGTGACATTGATTGAATTTAGAAGTTCAAATATAAAGGGTGCAAGGATCGTCTTTAGGAGTAGAGAATAAATTTTACTAAAACGGGCAACTAGATGGGAGATTAAATCATTTTTCCAAGTAATCTTCTTATATCCATTTGTTATAGGGTAAATCTATGGTTTACCAGCTTTATCAATATATTGCTGATTTATTTGAAGAGACCAATTATTTTCCTTCAGTAAATTAATAATTTATTCATCAGGAGTCATAAATCAAGAAAAATGATGAAAAGACCGTGATTACAAGCATAATGAGACGGTAATATCACATATGACTTTACCAGGTGAAAGTTAAGGCCGTCTGACGGCCCAAAGAGATATTCAAACTAGGCCGAGCCGGACTTTTAAAAAAAATTTAAATACATATATATAATAAAAGCATTTTCAAGATAGTCCGTCCCGCCCTAAAAATAGTTTTGCACCTAGAGTATGTGCTCAACTCGGCCCGGGAGTAAGTGCCAAGATTTGGCCAACAATGACAGGTTCTAGACCGGCCCGTTTGGCCTGGCCTAAAATTACTGTTATACGTGTAGAGTTTAAATCCCCACCCCCAACTTACCAAATAATAATAATAATAATAATAATAATAGCTAGAAGATAAGTTATTTACCTTCAATTAAATCAAACATTTCAGCACCATTTATGCAAATAACTCGAATAATAATTGCTTGCTTTTAGCTTATGGACAGAAGTTGGATGTGGGGCATGTGAGGAAGGCATTGAGAGTCATGATCAATTAAGGTCTTGTTCATTTTACCGATCAAGTTTAGAATTTGAGTTTTGTTACAGTAAAAAGCTCTCAGAAACAATCACATATAAGTTTTTTACTATAATAAAAAGTTCTCACATAAAGTCATATCTCAATTCGAATTAACAACTTAAATTAGCGAACTAAACGGGCCCTAAAGAAACAGCTAAGTTAGATATGGGACTGAAATATGCTAAGAGAGGGATATAGCAGTGACACAGATGAGGAGCTACAACCCAGTTTGGTTTCTGATCTTATTATTACGGTTCGAAAAGTTCAGGACAGTTAGTTGCAACCAAAAATTCTAATGTTTTAATTGTCCCATGTGAAATCCTCCAACTGAAATCTGCTACTGAAAAATGCATGACTCCCCACCCATTATCCCATTCCTTTGGGGGGTATTAAGTGTGTTTGTTCTTTGAATTTTTCACAATTCGCAAATTACACCTTAAAAATTTTAATTTTGATAAAGTTAACAAAGTGTTATAGAATACCCTCAAATCAATCACTCTTCACTACTGTTGAATTATCCTTGTATACGTTACTTGGTATCGATTTCAATAAAATATCAAAATTTTGGATGACAATCAAAGCAGGACATTTCCATTAAAATTTTATCATCATTCACCATTTAGGGGCATTATGCAATAGTTTATCAACTTAGAAATAATGTTCCACATTTCAAAGTTCAAAGAATAACTTATCATAATGCGAGTGAAATTCAAAAGTGAAACTACCAAAAAACCGAAGCCTTTTTGTCCCCAGTTTTGCAGGCAAAATCTGCTGGACCACCATTCCTTCTATATGTTGTTTGTACAGATTTGGTTAGACTTTTGGGAGGGATCCAAAAATCTGCAATAAAACTCGTTATTGAGAAAGAAAGGAATTGAACTAATGAATTCACCCATTTTTTATTTGCAATGCAAGTAGTAGTAGTAGTAATAATAATCACCGGCCAAAAAAAACATGCATACTTCGTTCTCCATTGACATTTGAGAGATTATGGAATTGTTCTTTTCACAACTCAAGTTATTAACTTAAATTGTGTATGTAAAAGAAAAACGCGTCTATAACAATAAAAGTTGAGAGATTATGGGATTGTTCTTTTCACAACTTAAGTTATTAACTTGAGTTGTGTATGTGAGAGAAAAACATACTGAATTGTGACTCGAACAACCTTTCTATTAAAAGGGGTGTGCTAGTTTATGGGTCACTATCAATTGTCCCAATCTGAGTCTATCTCCACTATCGAAGGGCAAACTCAAAAAAATGACTTCTTGTGCTGATTTGAATCATAATTCAAACTCTGGCATTTTATCTCACAAAACTAAAACTGTGTTCAAACATATATGAACAGCTTATGCCAAGCAACGTTAGTGGTTAATCCTAAATTCACTACTAGAGTGAAAGCACAAGAAAAATAGATTTAGATGGATTTGGAACTTGCTAAACCTCAATTCAATGTCTACAAGTGGCTGAAGAAAAAGAAGAAATAAATAAAAATAAACAAAACAAAAACACACCTCAAAACAAGTAAAACAAGCCCTCTTTCCCCTGATCAAATTTCCTATTTCTCAAAAAAGAACAATTTCCTCCCAACAATACAAGCATATAAAAGTAGTTCCTGAAGAAGATTCAGGTGCGGGTCGAAACTGAACCCTCTGAATCGTCAAGCATTTCCTTCTCATGTAGTTTTTGCTTTCGGAGCTTTTTTCCTCAGCTGTCGCCTTGGGATGGAGTTCTTCATGCCAATGTAAAAGAGCAAAGCCCCAAACAATGCCAAGTTCTGCGAAAGTGTAGAGAAAAAGTAAGATCATTTTTAGAAAGATTCTGCCATTTTCAGCTGAGACAAGCAACTACTAATCAAAAGGTACAAATCTCAGCATATTTATTCAATTTGCTTTCATTATATTCAGCAAAATGAACAACCAAAGTTAAATCACCGCACCAAGAAGATACAATGGAACGAAGGTTTTCTTGATTGCTCACCTGCGTAAACTTGGAGAAAAGTTGAGCGAATTCTTTCTTTTCAACGTCGTAGTTGTAGAAGTCATACAATATGGGCGAAACAATCGCCTGATGCAGAAGCTGCAAACAAGATAATGAAACATAATTCAGTATATGTTGATCAACAAGTAAAATACACACACACACACACACATATATATAAAGGAAAACAGCGGGTAAACTGGCTAAGTTAAGCTTACTAACCAGAAGATAGGCTCCAAATGAGCTTCCAAAGATGAAAAGAAGGCTCCCGAGGCCCTTCAATGCTATGGCGGGCGCCCCTAAATTCTTTATCGGCCGCCACTAAATTCTTAATCTGCAAATAACAACCTTAACATCATTTCCATATACAAGCTTCCCACTGCAAATTAAATGTCTACTATAGAAAAAGTAAGGTAACATGAATCAAATGCACTTCTTACTTCAACTTCTGGCACTTTGAACCCAGTTTGAGTCGAAATATGATGTGAGAAAACTTTGAATTTTGGTTCCAGAAACTTTGCTGCTGGTCCACCATCAGTACCAAATTCATTGAACCTGCACCAAAATAATCAATAAATTAATTAAAGATCAAGCATCTAAACATTTTGCTGAATTATAATTTATATCAATTCCACATTGTAACATGTTTGAAAAATGAGCTACATGTACAAGCACCAAATTAACCATATAACTCTAAATACCGCAGTCAGTTAATCAATGAAAAAACCTAAGAAATAAACGTCATTAAAGCGCTATGCAAAGCTAATTTCGATACTAAAAAGAACCCCTTTTTTCTAGTTATTACTTTTTTTACTAATACGGAACTAAATTTCACTAAATCCAACTACGAAACATTGCTTATAGCAAAAGGCAAAGTCGTAATATTTAACAACGCTATTAATTAGCTGTTAAAATAAGTATCCTACCAATATACGGATTTTTGGTTTACACTTAAGACTTCTAACTGGCTATTTCAAGCTTTAATCTTAAAGTTTCATTCTTTGCCTAAACAAATTTAATCACGCTCAACCAACATAGGGTATAAAATGTCAAGAATTTTAAATATTTAAAGCATTAAATTAGGATCACATAATTTCCCAAAAAATAGTAAAGTTATTTGACTCCACTTAGGTTAAAAAACATTATTCTTAACACTTTGCATGAAAAATCAAAACTTTTCTTTTACGTCATTTAGAATCAGCAAAATTTTTGGAGGGACAATTTCCACACCAAAAAAAAAAAAAATGCAACAATACTAAATTTTTTTTAAATAAAACAAAAACCTATGAATTAGGAGCAGCGCTAGCGAACACTTTCTAGATCTACTTTACTTAAATACGAAAATTAAGCACTGACAAATGCTCAACACGCAAAAAAATAAATAAAATAGATAAACTAAAAAATAAGTCAAAAAATCCAAAATTGATAGATCTTGAACAAAATTACTAATATGCTTGATTGTAACACTTACCGAAAACCAAAAATTCTCCCAAAAAAATTTAAAAAGAAATGAAGAGCACAAAAAAGAATGAGAGTTACTGACTTGAAAAGGAAACAAAGAAATGACAACAAATCTTTCAAGACTATCAGATCCGAATCTTCAAACCAGCACAAGAAAGTTAGAAAACTCCATTTGACCACTTTTTTAAAATTTTCTCGCGAACCAAACACCACGAGAGTGACTAAGCAGAGTATGAAGAGAGCAGATCTGGTCTTACTCTTGCCAGGCGGAGAGAACGAAGACGGAGACGAAGAGAACCCTTCCAACGAAGGAAACGAACGCCATGGCTGTCCCGTGAAGTTGAAACGATGACGAATTTGTAGAGAGAGAAAGAGAAAGAGGAGAGAGAAATAGAGAGTCTGGTCTCTTTTGGGGCCGACTGAATCTATTTACGGTATTGCCAAAGGCAGGACGACAGTGGAGCAGACAACGGAACGACGTCGTAATTTGAAAGTCATTAAAGTCAAAGCGGCGATAGGTGGTCTCTCACGCGCGAACCCAAGGCGGTGTGGTCCAATCGCTCTTTATGGCACATAACACGTACTACAAGCCAATCATATTGTCGGAATCCGAAGAATTACAGTAATCTATTGTTGTCGTGGCGTTACTACATAGCGAGTGTTCATGCGTAACGTCGAAGAGCTTTGTACAAAGTGTTTTATTTTTTTATTTTTTTTTCGGTTTCGTACAAAGTTATGGGCTAGGGACGTTTTATGCGTTATTTGCGTTGGTGCCCCTGTGTTTGTCTTCTCTTATTGTTTTTTCCCATTTTGTCTGTTACTAAGTTCAAAGTAATTACCGGATTGACTCAGTTAATAGAAAAAATCAAATATGATTAAAAATAATTTAGATGAACACTGTGTTTAAACTAAATTCAAAATTTTTTAAGTTAATTGTCACCAAAGAAAAGAAAAGAGAAAATCCTTAATTGCAATAAGAGCCAAAATGAGTTTTAAGGTCATGTGGAGTTGATTTTTTAGTATGTATGATCTAAGGCCTCGTTCACTTTGTGGATTCGAGTTTTCAATTCGAATTGAGATGTGACATTTTTTTAGAGCTTTTTACTGTAGCAAAAAAAGTTGAATGTGACATTTTCTGAGAGTTTTTTACTGTATAAACTTAAAACTGAAAATTCAAATCGGTGAAATGAACGAGACTTAAGTAGTATTTTTGTTTTTGAGAGTATCTAAGCAATAAATTAGGGTCACTCAACCAAAAATATGAATATATACTAAGGCCACGAATAAGTCATAGTCATTACCAAAACCCCAAAAAATAAAAAAATAAACTACGAATAGAGTAGATTGCGATTAAATATATTACACATTTCGATGGATTGAGCTTTATAAGAAATGAATTTTTATCTCTTATAAAATGCGTTTTGCTTTCAGTGTACATTTTTTTTGATTGATACGATAATGAACATGTCAATCGCCTAACCAATTTTACCACTCAAAAGCTATATATATATGATAAGAAATCGTGCAAAATGGTAAATTCCAATAGTTATCCATGACTATATTAATACATTAGTAGATAAACCTTACGATCAATAAAAATTGAGATTTAATTGGTCATATATTTAATTCAGAACGAGAGAAATGCGAAGATTTATAATAGTTCGTTACTATGAAAGCTACGTCGGGTTTCACTATAATTTAGTACTATGAAAGCTGCGTCGGGTTTCACTATAATTTAGTAAAAATACAATTACAGTTAAAAATAAGAATGAGAGAAAGATGAGTAATTGTGCAAAAAATCTGAGAAATGAGACAATATATGGACTCTGTCTGGATATCCTAATAAGAGATGATATAAAGCTTCATTGTTTTCAAATTCTAACCGGATTCGACTCAGGATTGAAGTAAGTGGTTTCCCATTTGAGCTTCAGTTTATTTTCCTATGTTTCCTTAGTTGCTATAGGTAGCTTCTCCTTTCAAATTAATGTCCCGTTTATTTTACCGATTCGAATTTTATTATAGTAAAAAGTTTTTAGAAACAGTCACATTTAATTTTTTTATTACAATAAAAAATATTCTTATAAAGTCACATCACAACTCGAATTAAAAACTCAAATCATCGAACTAAACAGACCCTAAATATATTTTGATACTTATTCCTGAATTTTGAGGATTTGGCCTTCATCCTTTTAGAAGCTTAAATCTCCTTTGATCGTCAATGGTGTGCCGCACAATGCTCCAATTGATCTGAGCTGTCTGGATGATTTTAGCAGGGCAATCATTTTGGGCCCGTTTAAATTGTATAGTCAAATTATAATTTTTGATATTTTGATAGCTGTAGTACAAAATATGATCTCAACAACCAACAATAAATAATAATTGATCAAGTAGTTTTGAGTTAAGACACGTACAGCAAGAGCTGTAATACAAAATATAATCTCAGCAATCAACAATAAATGATAACTGATGAGTGATGCGAATTCCAAATTCCTTTATTTAAAAAAAAAAAAATGAAATATGAAATATGCAAATGTCAAGAAGTTGGTGGGTAACTAGCTTGTAAGATCTGAAATTTTTATTTATTTTCTAAAAAAAGAATGGGATGGAAAAAAATATGGCGAGGTCGTGAGCAATTGAGCACCTACAATGAATTTGCCAACTTAGAATTCATAAATTAAAGTCAATTTTCTTGCAAAAGCAGTATAAACAAGCACCCAATTGCATGTTCCAACTAGATCCCACGTTCAATATAATAGGATATCTCCCGATTTAGTGTGATTTGATTTTATTACACTTATTGTTGTAATCTTCTAAATTAGGATAGCTACTTATTTTTGAATATTTGTTTCCTTAAGTTTAGGATACTCTATTAATATTACAGCTTGTATAAATCCTCTTGTTTGTGAATAATACGTTAACAACCATTTTATACAAACTCTCTTATGGTATCAGAGCAAGCAAGGCTCATGCCCATAACCTCTCATCACAGCAGCTGCAACACTAGCTGTTCTTCTCCTTAGCTGTAGCCATGGCCACTGCACCTACAGAAAACACATCACAATCCACCACGCCAGCCCCTTCCTATGCCATATATCGAGCCGCAATTGTTAATCCGCTCGACAACACCACCACTCTCATCTCCATCAACGTTTCCGCTCAAGCTCCACTTAAACTCACGTCCACAAATTACACTGCATGGCGTCTTCAATTTTAGACACTCTTCATCGGCTATGATCTTCTCGGATTTGTTGATGGCAACAAACCTTGTCCGCCATCTTCTATTCAACAACGTGACGTCACGGTGCCTTACCCGGAATATATCCACTGGGTTCGTCAAGATCAATTAATCCTCCATGCCATCATCGGCTCGCTTACTCCGACACTCATCTCGTTTATTGCTAGGTCCAAAACATCTTATGATGCTTGGACAACACTTGAGAACACATATGCTAAACCCACTCGCGGTCGTATCCTTAATATCAAAGGTCGGCACACTAATCCCATCAAAGGAACTCAGTCTATCACTGAGTATATACAAGGCATCAAAACTAATGTAGATGCACTTGCCCTTATGAACGTCTCTGTTGACTCTGAGGATCTCGTCATGAAGATTCTCAATGGTCTTGATGAGAATTACAAGCAACTCTCAGACGCCATTCAAGCGCGAGAAACCCCAATCTCTTTTGAAGAACTTCATGAGAAACTTCTCAATTACGAGGCACAGCTTACGGCAAAACAAAACTACCATCCTACCACTCCTACAACTGCCTTTGCTGCTACACGACCTCCATCACAGTCTCGACCCTCATTTCAGCCATCGCATGGTCAGCCGCAGCAGCGATCTTCGAGCCCATTCCGCGACAATCATCCTCGTCCACCACCAACCACGTGGTCTCCTCGACCACCACCCAACACTAACAATCAGGGTCCCAGGCCTTATCTTGGTCGCTGCCAACTCTGTGAACAACAAGGGCACTCCGCCAAAAGGTGCCCGTCTTTCAAATATTCGCCGTGGACTTCTAATCCACAACAACCACGTCACTCTTCGCGCCCCGCTTACACTCCTCCAATTGCTCACACTGCTACTCATCCTATAGCGTCCCCTTCAACCTCCGAATGGATTTTGGACTCCAGTGCTTCTCATCATGTTACTACAGATTTGGCAAATTTGGCACTTCATTCACCATATGACGGGTTTGATGATATAGTCATTGGTAATGGTAACTGCTTGCCTATCACTCATATTGGCTCTCTTAAATTACCATCTTCACCCACCTCTCTTTCCCGAACCTTCTCTCTATTTCTCAACTTTGTCAAAATAATGATGTTTATGTTGTTTTTAATTCATCCTGTTTTCAGGTGAAGGATCGTCACACGGGGGCCATAATCTTCCAAGGACCACATAAGGATGGTGTTTACATTTGGCCGGTCATGGTAGGTTCATCTGTTTCACCATATGCTTTTTCCTCTCTTGTTGTTCCCATGTCCCTGTGGCACTCTCGTCTTGGTCATCCGTCAAATAAAATAGTTCATCATTTAGTGTCTTTTAATGCTTTTCCTTTGTCTTCTACTGGTCTATCAAATTTTTCTTGTAATTCTTACGAAATTAATAAAAGTCATAAGCTCCCATTTTCTGAATCTACACTTTCGTCTTCTTCACCCCCTGAAATAATTTACTCTGATGTTTGGACTTCTCCCGTACTTTCTCTTGATGGTTTCAAGTATTATGTTGTTTTTGTCGACCACTTCACAAAATACATTTGGTTGTATCCTCTTAGGCGAAAGTCTGATGTTTTTGATATTTTCACGAAGTTTAAATCTCTTGTGGAGAATTATTTTCACACAAAAATTATCACTCTTTATACAGACAATGGCGGAGAATTTATTGCACTTAAATCTTTTCTTGGTACTCATGGATAACCCATTTAACCACACCACCACATACTCCTGAACACAATGGTTTCTCCGAACGTCGTCACCGCCACATTGTTGAAACTCATCTGACATTACTTCATCATGCATCTGTACCTCTCACATTTTGGCCCTTTGCTTTTGCAACTGCCATATATCTCATTAATGGCATGCCTAAATTTAATCTCTCTATGTTGTCTTCCTTCGAAAAATTGTTCGGTCGTCCTCCTAACCTTCAAAAGCTTCGTGTCTTTGGTTGCTTATGTTATCCTTGGCTTCGTCCATACATTTCCCACAAACTTGAACCTAAGTCTCGTCCTTGTGTCTTCCTCGGCTATTCTCTAACTCAGAGTGCTTATTTTTGTTATGACTCCTCCTCTACAAAACTCTTTGTCTCGCGTCATGTTGAGTTTGTTGAGGATGTCTTTCCCTTTTCTACTCATGTGTCATCTGATTCTATAGCAAGCTCCTCCCAGCCACTTCCTACTTCTCCTTCGGTTTTTCATG